CATCCACCTTGAGATATAACTTCTAAGGTCTCAAGTATAGTTATAACGGCTGCCCCAGCCTTCAAACCGAACATTACTGCTTCACGGCAGAAATATGCAGGGCGGTGGTACCTACCCGCGCGGACTTACAAGAGGTCCTACCACCAGTAATTACGTAAATTATAATTTTGCGGGTTTGATTTTTATTACACGATGTTATTCTTTCACCGTGCTAGTCAATCGTGAACATTTGTTGAGTACGTATTTCATTAGAAAAATTGGTACACCGCCTGAAATTATTTCAAACGAACATACCAACTCTGGGAATCAAAAATTAAATGTTTGTCTTTAATGGATGCAAATGCTTTGTTACTTTGTTTGGTGGCTCGTAGATAATCGATTATCATGTAGTCAGATCAGGTATTCCTTTTGGCTGAACACCTAATTAACACACGTATATTTGCGAACGAATTTCATGATGAAAAAAGGGCGTCATGTATTAAACTCAAACCCGCAATCGGTTTAGATTTTCATGATTTAAGGTTGAGCGTGCTTAGGCTTTGTTTTTAATAATGGTTATTTAATTTTATGATATCTAATATAATTAATTATGACGCAGTAAGCTCAACATGCCTTATAGTGTGATCAAATTGGGTCTTATCTCTATCCAAAATCCTTTTCAATCGTTAGCTATTAGACTATCAGTGAGAATTGTGATACCCATGCATCAGCCCGCTGAGTTTCTCGCCGAATCTTCTCAGAGGGTCTCGATTCCGATCCGCTATTAGATTCATTCGTGAAGAAGTTGCTCTTGAGTTGGGTCTCATTCGAAAGCGTTCAGGTAGATGTTAGCTAATCCCACCCCTCCAGGCTGAGCCTTTGCTCGTCCACTTGTCCTGGTGAAACTGGGAAGGCCTCCGGTCCACCAGTAACCCTTCAATCATAAAAAAAGGAATTGTGGTGTACGCTTCAAATTGCTCGATCATATTGCTATTCTATATTATATTATACTCGCCCGCATGGCTGGGCATTTAAAATTAACATTATTATTTATTATTAATATTATTAGGGAGTCCGACACTCATATAAATATTAGCTTATCCATTAAGTACATGTATTTTCTACATGGATACCAAGTTTCAAGTCAATCGGATGCGCGGTTCAGTAGTTATAATGTAACATCCGTAAAAACCACTGTAGATTTATATATAAAAAGGAACACAGAAATAATTATATAATCTCGCTGAGCTTGTTTCGTTGGTTCTCTTCAGAAGAACTTGAATCCGGTGGTGGGATTAAAATGATTTACATTGACCTCTATATAATAAAGTATCATCTTAAGTTTAATTTGTAAAAACGCAATGTAACTAATCCTTACAACAATGCAATGTCTACAGTAATTGAAGTTAGGCGTTAGTGAACAATCATTATTATTCATAATGCTGGAGGTAAGGCATGTTGTGAGCTCGCGCGGGTAGGTACCACCGCTCTGCCTGTTTCTGCCGTGAAGCAGTAATACGTTTCGGCTTGAAGGGCGGGGCTTGTCTTGCGATGGGTGAGAACATTTACGTTTTTGATGTTTTTTTTTATTTATTGCTTAGATGGGTGGACGAACTCACAGCCCACCTGGTGTTAAGTGGTTACTGGAGCCCATAGACATCTACAACGTAAATGCGCCACCCACCTTGAGATATAAGTTCTAAGGTCTCAGTTTAGTTACAACACCCCCACCCTTCAAACCGATACGCATAACTGCTTCACGACAGAAATAGGCGAGGTGGTGGTACCTAACTGCGCGGACTCAAGAGGTGCTACCACCAGTATAGCAATATGTTACACCTAATTTGTTAATAATGACATATGAGACCTTAAATTCGACTAAGTGGGTCGGGTCGACACGCTGAAAACCCATCTCGTAGGGCCAACAGGGTTTTGTTATTGATAAAAAAAATATATTCAAAAATTATTTTTTGTTTGGTTGAATATATTTTTTACTCAAATTGATAACTAAGCAGGCATATAGATTCTCTTTGATTGTGGATGTAAAGATTTGATGTTGTCTTATTATAATTATTATCAATTTGGCATCTGTGTATTTATTAATATATTATTATTCCTTTTAATACTGTATTGTATAAACTATTATATGTATGTATGGATATGTGATTGTTTATGTATTTGTAATTTAATATAAATTTCATTGCACCTATCACTATTTACTCTGCACTACTTTTGGTTGACTGGTAGAGAATGCCTTAGGCATTAAGTCTGCCAATGTAAATTTTACATGAATTGTAATAATAATTTTATGGTAGGCAGCGGCTTGGCTCTGCCCCTGGCATTGCTGACGTCCATGAGCGACGGTGACCACTTACCATCAGGTGGGCCGTATGCTCGTCTGCCTACAAAGGCAATAAAAAAATAAATAAAAAAAAGTCAATAATTCTGATTCTAAAGCATTTATATGGCTTGCAATAGCTACCAGAATATTATAGTGGAACTCATAGGCACTTTACGCCTGCTGCCATCTTCACTGATTGTCCACACAGCTTGACACCTCTGGCAAACGTACCTGCCGCGCAATTAAGCTTTATTTAAAGTGGTTATGTCAAAAAATCGTAGCTCTGAGCTTTAGGTATTTGCGCAAATGTAAAAACCCTAATTAGATCTGTCTTAGGGTGTACCTCCATACATTTGTGTCAACTTCATATTTAGGGACCCCAGTATGGAATATTCAAGATTATTCATTAATGCTGATTGCAATTCGTCAGAAACACATTAGACGTTTTGTTAGAAATAATAATGAATTCATTTTACTAAATCACGTAACAAAAGGTATTCTAATAAAGAAATAAATTTGAATTACTGGTGGTAGGAGCTCTTGGGAGTCCGCACAGGTACCACCACCCTGCCTATTTCTGCCGTGAAGCAGTAATGCGTTTCGATTTGAAGGGTGGGGCAGCCGTTGTAACTATACTTGAGACCTAAGTACTTATATCTCAAGGTGGGTGGCGCATTTACGTTGTAGATGTCTATGGGCTCCAGTAACCACTTAACACCAGGTGGGCTGTGAGCTCGCCGCCCCTTCTAAGCAATAAAAAAAAAGAATTGTGTTTTTTTAAAAGGAAAATCTATTTCCTTGAAAAAGAGAATCAAAGTTGTTTTTAACTTTCACTATTCCTCAATATATATATTTTGTTTCCTACTAATGCTGATAGCCTTGAGAGGTTATTTCAGCGTTACCCTAGCGTGTAGGTGAGCTCTCGGGGCTCAAACCCAATGTATTGCTAACACTGGCCCTAGCAAGAGCAGTGCTTCGCAGAATCTACCACCGGATCGGAAGCGCGACCCACTGAGAAGATCCGACGAGAAACTCAGTGTACTGTGTCTGTGGGTTTACTCGTCGAGCCCTTCGTCGCTTCAAATCATTATTGTTATTTTAGCGGACCGTAAAAACAAAATATTTCGTTATAAATAAAATGCAATTCGATTAATAAATAAAGCCTTCCGCTTACAAAGCAAGCGTTGCCGCATAATTGTTACCGCGGTTACATAACTCCTCGCAGGAGTTCCAAGAACTTAATATAAAATCGGCGCTTTCGTCACGTTCCGATATTATGTACAATAATAAAATACGTGGTACGTCAAATACGTACAACGTTAATTAATTTTTACGTTTGCTTTTCGTATGCACGCGTGATTTTTTCCGATGCTCGCTCGGCCGTTTCTCTGAAAAGGTTTATTAGTTATTGGAAAACTCACGATTTTTTGAATTTGTTTTTGTTATGATAAAGAGAAATGTATGTTTGCGTTTTGTTTAGTTGTGTATGGCGTTAATTAGTTTTATGGGGGTTCTCGAAAGTGGTGTGGGTAATTTCAAGCAGAGATCACCCAGATCGACCGAAAAACAATACTATTGCAATTTTTTTTTTTACGGCAAACAGTTTCTTTAATATATTTTTGAATTATCACATAATAATAACAATAATTTGATCTTTGAGATCGGTATCAAACGCGCTCATTGAAAATTAGTGAAGACGTTCTTTTGGTATTCCAATGAATGTCTCTTGCTATTAGTGTAGAAAAATTGTTAACAATTACGAAGTTAAGGGTACTTATTGAGTGTTCCCAGAAACGGTACTTATGATCTTTCTCGTTAGCGTAGGAAATGTCGGTGCGACATCGGATTGCCATCGGAGTGGCTTACAGTGGTGTGCGTAAAAATTGGTAGGTACTGGAATCGAGAATCCGTGTGTCCCATAGCCCCCTACCGGAAAGAAGCTACCCCAGTATTAAGTGCGAAACTAGATAAATTATCACTAATTCCGATTGCAGAATCGGATTGTCGTATCGAATTGCACCGTAAAATCTGTATTTAGTTGTCAGAAAACAGCATAGTTCAAAACAACTGATGAATCGATTGTAATATCTGCGTTGCGTATCTTAGAGTCGTAATTCGCATTCACCTCTGTTACACTTAGAATTTTAATAAAAATACATGATTCAAATTGAGAGTCTTTTTAGGGAGTCATTTGGAAATGCTGAAGGTTCTTTTATGTTCTTTTTCTTACTGATCGATATAATATGAAATGAATATGAAAAGACACCATATTCCTCTAGTGTACTCCCATTTTCAATTTTTTTATTGCCTTTGTAGGCAGACGAGCATACGGCCCACCTAATGTTAAGTGGTCTCCGTCGCTCATGGACGTCAGCAATGCCAGGGGCAGAGCCAAGCCGCTGCCTACCACTAAGTACTCTCCGCAAGCCTCGTTTGAAGAAGGACATGTCATAGCGCTCGTAAAACACCGTGGAGGGGAGTTCATTCCAAAGCCGGATGGCACGTGGCCAAAAAGATCTTTGGAAACGCACTGTCGATGAACGCAGCGGTTCCAGATAATATTATGGATGAACTCTGCTCCGGTATGGCGGGAGGTGCGATGATAAAAAAGAGATGAGGGGATCATCTCGATTCCATTTATAAAGTTTGTTTTTAATCTTTTAATTAATGTTGTCCTTAGGGTCCGGAGTCGGCACTGAACCCAAATCCCGGTGGCGCCGCGAAGCCGCCGCTTATCAACTCATTCGAGCTGGACCGCTGTCTGGACCGGTAAGTTCTTCGGCTTCATGATAATCAGACAGATATACAGATGGTGATAGGACCTCTTGTGAGTCCGCACGGGTAGTGTACCACCACCCCGTCTATTTCTGCATTGTAACTATACTGAGACCTTAGAACTTATATCTGAAGGTGGGCGGCACATTTACGTCGTAGATATTTATGGGCTCCAGTAACCGTGGCTGTGAGCTCGTCCACCCATTTAAGGAATAAAAAAATAAAAAAGGCATTTTCTGTGATCACGTAACTGTAAACTATTTGAAACTTTGGGAATAATGTAATGATAATAAAAAACGCGGGATTGAATCGTAAATGTAGCTATAATTGTGTCCGCGAATTCCAAAGAACGAATGAAAATATTAAATATTATATAGTTCTAATGGTAAAAGCTATGGTGATATAAGTATTTGTACAGTATTTCCTTCTATCTAGTCTCATATCTAATATGAAATGGGTTGTATTTCCGTATGTGAACACAGAAGAAAGATGTAGCTCAATCCTTATAGTTTAAATTTTAATGTGACATAGAATGAATACACAAAAAAGATAATTAAATTTGCGCGTATATATTAGTATTGTAATAGGTCTATCCTACCCTTAAGAGGTATGCACGAATGCATTCTATTGTGGTGGGACTGGTGGCGGTGTCCATGCCCACCTAGGTACCACCACATGGTATATTTTGATAGACTCTCGAGTGATATTGGATGGTACTGTAAAATCTCAATCTTCATATCTATTTTGCAACATAGCACGTGCCAATAACATTGCTGTTCTTGTTATAGTAAGTAGGTAGGTATGCAAATAGTGGGTTAAAATGTAGGATGAAGTTTGAAGTTTGACACCTTAGAAATTATGAAACGGCAGTTTTTTCATTAAGAATTTGGAACCGGTGATTCTCAAAGTGAGCAAAGAGACATTTTACGTTATTTTTTGGTAATTGAGATCTAAATATAACATATTATACCATTTAAGTATTTCATATTCGTATAGTTAATTCGGTAAAGAAACAGCAAGGATCAAAGATGAAAATCTTTCTCCGGGCTAAGCGCGTGCTCTCCTGGTAAATCTGTTTTCGAGCCACCAGTAATTCTTCTACCCCAAAAAAACCAATTTGGTGAACAAAAAAGGCTTGTGAGCTTATCATATATCCTATCACAAATACTTATCATTGAAAAGCAGCCTACTGAGTTTTTCGTCAGATCTTCTCAGTGAGTCGCATTTCCGATCCGGTGGTAGATTCTGCGAAGCACTGCTCCTGCTAGGGCCAGTGTTAGCAACACTCCGGTTTGAGCCCCGAGAGCTCACCTACATTCTCAAGTCTAGGAAGGAATAGGAAGGAAAAAAAACTAGAGCTATGTATGTGAGAATAACTTATAGACAGATGATGAATTACGTATGTACCTCTGGCTTTTCTGTAAGCAAATCTTTGTTCCAGTGAGGAGTCTGGCAGGTGGGGCGGCGAGGCGGCGCGGCGACGCCGGCGCAGCTCGCCCCCGCGCCGCGCCTCTCCCCCCCGCGACCATGAGCCGCTTGCACTTGCTAGGGTACGTACACATTTTATTATTTCAAGATCCTGCAGACCGAACGGTAAACAGTCGACGTCGCCAAAAGCACGTCATTTCGGATCCTCCTGATCCATTAAAGGTGCTTTTAGGTACATCAAGCACCGGTCATCGGTCTCGTCGAACCCGTCGCTTGCGACGAAGGGCTTGGCGAGTAAATTAACCCACAAACACAGCTTCTCGCCGGATCTTCGCAGTTGGTCGCGTTTCCGATCCGGTGATAGATTCTGCGAAGCACGGTGACCGGTGCTTGAGGTACCTAAAAGTACCGTTAGTGGATCGGGAGGATCCGAAATGACGTGCTTGGGGCGACGTCGACTGCTTTCCATTCTGTCCGCAGGATCGGGAATGTAGTTACCGGCGGCCACGATGAGAGGGTTCTCGTGTCGTGGCGCATCGACGCCGACTGCAGATACTTAATCTACTGAAATATGCACTCAGCCCCAACGAATGGCCATTAATCACGTTCCAAAGACTTGCACGGCTCATTAGATGTTTGCGAAAAAATCTCTAAATCAGGGAAGAAGGTACGTTAATATGATTTTGTCGTATTATAGAGCTCAGCACCGCCGTCACCGAGTGGCTCGGCCCACTCCAGCCCGGCGCCCGTGTCGTCTCCCGCGGGCAGCGCGGCCGGCACCGCTGGGGCTCGCTCTCCGCTACCACTGGTCGCACCGGACCTGCTCGCAATGCAGCTGATAGACCAGCACACACAGCTCCAGGCCTTGATGAAACAAAGGCTCTTCCATCAGCATCAGATGCAAAAACAGGTAAAGAGTGAATAGTATTTTTAAAATTATTTATGTAAAGGAATGAAAATTGTCTAATTTGCCAATTTATGTCACCGTCTATTATTTGTTTTATATGCTTAATCTGTATATGTGGTGTTAAACAAAGAGTTATATTATTATTATTGTATATTTAGCACATGTCTTCGGAGGCTGCTAAACGGCAATTGGAGCAGTCCAGACTCCAAGATCAGATCAATCTGAATCTGCTGTCGCAGCCTCACCTGCCGCCTCCAGACACTTCTCCTGGTAAGAAGCTTTTATTGATTCGGGTACTACGGTTACATATACTTCAGGTATTCAATAGTAAAGTTTTTTAGAACTGTATTCTGTTACTGGTGGTAGGATCTCTTGTGAGTCCGCGCGGGGTTGGTACCACCACCCCGCCTATATCTGCCGTGAAGCAGCAATGCGTTTCGGTTCGAAAGCTGGAGTAGCCGTTGTAACTATACTTGAGACCTTAGAACTTGTATATCGAGGTGGGTGGCGCATTTACGTCGTAGATGTCTATGGGCTCCAGTAACCACTTAACACCAGGTGGGCTGTGAGCTCGTCCATCCACCTTAGCAATAAAAAAAAATGTATATAAGATCTCATAAGGACATAAATTAATCGTACTGCGACGTTTCTAACCGTCGCTTTCAAAACAGTTAGACGGCTGAGAAATACAATATCCAGTAACCTTGAAAAACCATCGGCATCTATCACTCCTAAATAGCGAAAACATGATTACCTTCACAGCTAAGCAGTTGTCTGTTTCCTAAGGTTCTAGGTCCATTGATCATTAAACCAAATTCAGGATAAAGTTAAACCTTTTAAACCCAAACCGCTGTGTCAAAAAGATACGACGCTTGAAAGGCAAACGTGATTAAGCGACAATAACTGTTTTGCACATAAATGATAGGCAATAACCATATTCGATGCGCAAAAAAAATATATTTCTAGGTATATTAGAATCATTTCAATCCTACAGCTAGATTCGTTAAAATAGATTTTTTTTCACGTATTTCAACTTTAAATTAGTCTACTGTAAAGTTCACGCATTGTCGCTTAGTCACGTTTGCCTTTCAAGCGTCGAATTATGATACTGGATCTTACTTCTTATAAAGCTGTCATTATATGACCACACTCGTCGTCGTAGTGAAGCAAATGTACCAAAAAAACCTTCACATCTCGTACTCCCACTGACCGGTTTACATCGCCCAGGGTCACTGCATCAGCAGCTGGGCGCCCAACAACAACAGCTGGTGCAGCAACTACAGGCCGTGCAGCGTCAGTATCTCATGCACGGCCCTCTGTCAGTGCCACCCAATGCTCCTCCAGGTACTCTTAAAGCTATAGCAGCTAGGGTTGCGATTAACTCCGAACCCACTGAGTTTCTCGCCGGATTGGGCCGCGTTTCCGATCCGCTGGTTGATTCTGCGAAGTACCGCTCTTGCTAGGGTACATACACATTGTATTATTTCACGATCCTGCAGACCGAACGGTAAACAGTCGACGTCGCCCAAAGCACGTCATTTCGGATCCTCCTGATCCATTAACGGTACTTTTAGGTATCTCAAGCACCGATCTTCGGTCTCGTCGAACCCGTCGCTTGGGACGAATGGCTTGGCGAGTAAATTAACCCACAAACACAGTTTCTCGCTGGATCTTCTCAGTGGGTCGCGTTTCCGATCCGGTGGTAGATTCTGCGAAGCACTGCTCTTGCTAGGGCCAGTGTTAGCAACGACGTCAGGTTTGAGCCCCGTGAGCTCACCAACTTGTTCAGATTAAGAATATTAAAATTTTTCTTACAGATTCTGTTATTTGAAAAATAATGTGGAGCGGAATGAAAAAATTGGGATGAAATTAAATAAGACGAGATGAAATGATGTGAAATAAAGTCTCAGTAAAATGGTTATTTTCTGAGATTTCAGTGGGATTTTTAGAAGAACCCGATAAGCCACTTATTTGTCCATCTATCGTCTCTTACTTACACATTTGTAATATTAATAGAAATAACAATGTATTTTTCTTGTAAATATGGATGAAAAGACTTGCCGATTTTTATCTTCATCACTGAATTAAGTCTTTCTGGGAATCCCGCGGATTTTGAGTAAGAGGTCGTGTATTTCAGGTCTGATGTTGTGGGGAAATGAAATGGAGGAACATCCTCTGTTCGGGAGAGGGGTCTGCAAGTGGCCCGGATGTGATGCTCTCGCTGATGACTACCAGGCTTTCCTCAAGTGAGACCTCCTGACTTTCCTCATGTATTTTTGTTAAATAAAATATTTATGAAAACTGGCAACACTCGTTAGGCTTATTTCCGTATCAGGAATCCTGATTCGTAATTGACTTTTTTGCTGCTTTTCTGAAAATTGATCAATTATTAAAATGTTCAAGAAATGAAACGTATTTTCGTGACATTTGAAACTTGGTACTTTCACTAACTTTCTAACCAGCTGAAGCCTTGTACTCAACTTATTGGAGTTCGCAGACATGAGGTCGATGTCTCAGACAGAGGGATGTCACAAGTATCCCTGCCTAACCAACTGAAGCTTTGTATTCAACTTACTGGAGTCGACAGAATCATGTCATTGTCGCCATCTTTGAGACATGACGTCTCAAGAGGGATATCACAAGTATCCTTGTCTAAGTAACTGAAGCTTTGTACTCAGCGAGTGTCTGGGTCAGGGGTGCGCTGTGTATGCTTACCTCTGAAGTCATATCTTATTGGTAACGTACAGCGGGCCCAGGAGTGCTCATAATTAAATATTATATTGAAAGCTCATAAGAAACTGCAAAGGGTTGTTAATTCATTGAAATGGGTTGGGTGGCAGACACCTGGAGGCGGCGCACACGCTGGACGACCGCTCGGCGGCGCAGGCGCGCGTGCAGATGCAGGTGGTCGCGCAACTCGAGCTGCAGCTGCGGCGCGAGCGGGACCGCCTGGCCGCCATGATGCGGCACCTGCACGCCGCGCGCGACCACCACGCGCACAAGCACGGTCCGTACTCCGCCACCACTGAAACCCGTCAAATAACTATAACTACTAGGCGTACACCGCTACCACTGAAACCCATCAAATAACTATAGCTACTAGTGGTCTCGTAGTAGTCGAAACATACCCGATCCTGTAGACCGAATGGTAAACAGTCGACGTCGCCCAAAACACGGATCCTCCCGGTCCATTAACAGTGCTTTTAGGTACCACAAGCACCGGTCACCGTCCTCGTCGAACCCGTCGCTTGAGATGTAGGGCTCGACGAGTAAATTATCCCTCAGACACAGCCCACTGAATTTCTTGCCGGATCTTCTCAGTGGGTCGCGTTTCCGATCCGGTGGTAGATTCTGCGAAGCACGGCTGTTGCTAGGTTTCGTGTTAGCAACGTCATCAGGTTTGAGCCCTGTGAGCTCACCTACTAGTTAAGGCCACGCTGATATAGCCTCTCAAGGCTATCAGCAAAGGTAGGATTAAAAAAAATTAAAAACTGGTGGTAGGACCTCTTGTAAGTCCGCACGGGTAGGTACCACCGCCCCTGCCTATTTCTGCCGTGAAGCAGTAATGCGTTTCGGTTTGAAGGGCGGGGTAGCCGTTGTGACTATACTTACTTTTGAGCTTATATCTCAAGGTTGGTGGCGCTAAATGTCTATGGGCTCCAGTAACCACTTAACACACAGGTGGGCTGTGAGCTCGTCCACCCATTTAAGCAATAAAAAATATATTATAATCCTCTCAATATCCAATGGGGCAGTATTGTATAAAGCTGTATTGCGAATAAGCCAAACCAACTCTTAGAGGGTATTTCTTCTACCACCTTTTGGGCTTTAAGCTCGTCGTAAGGCTCAGCTACGAAAACAATCATTCCGAACTAAAAAACAATGAGTGTATTGTATTAGCTTCAGGAGCCCCGAGCGAGGGGACATCACCGGGGCCCGTTAGAAGACGCGTCTCCGACAAGTCAGGAGTCGCCATTGCTGGAGGTAAGCCGTGTATCTAGTCAATTAAGTCGTCAATATATTACTTGAACCCGTTAAATAAAACGTAGTTCTCTTCACTATTAATGAACCTGTCAATTAAACCGTCATTTTGTTACTCGAACCTGTCAAATAAGATTGCCATTCTGTTAATTGTTTAGGTAAACTTAAGTGGAACAGTTTGTTACATTAATGATTTATTGTGCGTGAGATGGGGAAGAAAATTCCTTCAGTAATGATGAAATGTTCATTTCTGATATCAATCTCATGTGTCTATGGCAGGCAACATTCACTATGTGATGAAGGCGCTCCTTAATATTTATTTAAGTCGTTGTAGCTTAAATTAAAGGATAAGACGATCGGTGCATTTGTATCTATCTAGCTATACTACTATGCCGTGGTTCGAATCCCACTGACAGGCACCTATTTTTCTCATCAAATACGTACTTAACAAATGTTCACGATTGACTTCCACGACGAAGGAACAGCATCGTGTAATATACACCGTGCAATTGAGACGTAGACCTCAAGTCTCAAGTCGAGCCTTAATGCTCACGTTGTGATGCCCACAAGTTCGCTTAACAATCTGACTATTAATAAAAAAAACTGATTTAATTTAGTTGTCAATCTGTCTAAAATCTGTGTTGTGATTGGTATTGTTGCTTAAAATTTAAAATGATTTCCTATCAAGGTCTTCCCTATATGCTCGAAAGAGCTGGACTCGATGTACAGCAAGGTAGGTGTCAAACTCGGTAGAGGGGTGAGGGGGGTTGGGGTGTCACGCGGTTAGAAACTGGTATCCCGTCTGATTCGACCACGTGGTCGTCATGCGACTTCCACCTCATGTCTCAAGTGTCTCAAGTGGCGGTCATGATATCTACGAAGATAAACACAACAATTTTGATATTCTAAGCAACGTGTCAAACGTTGCAAAGTGTACATTTAAGGTCTCTCGCCGGATCTTTTCAGTGGGTCTCAATTCCGATCCGGTGGTAGATTCTGGGAAGCACTGCTCTAGCTAGAGCTAGTGGTACTGGACTACGCCTCTGGCGAAGCCAGAACAGCCTCTCAAGGCTACTGGTAGTAGGTACGCACCGTGACACTGACTCTGCCCACGCCTCGAGGGCTCTGGCGACTACCCAGCCCTGACCTACCCTCATGTTGAATACCTTGTCTTCCAGAGATCCAACGGAACCGCGAGTTCTACAAGACGGCGGACGTGCGGCCCCCGTTCACGTACGCATCCCTCATACGGCAGGTACGCCATCTCCATATCAAGACTCTCTGTATGCCAATCCGAGATCATAACATAACATAATAAATAGGATAGATTAAGAAATATCTAATAACAATAGCAAAAACTGGTGGTAGGACCTCTTGTGAGTCCGCACGGGTAGTGTACCACCACCCCGCCTATTTCTGCATTGTAACTATACTGAGACCTTAGAAATTATATCTGAAGGTGGGTGGCGCATTTACGTTATGGGGTCCAGTAACCACTTAGCACCAGGTGGGCTGTGAGCTCGTCCACCCATCTAAGCAATAAAAAAATATTTGCGTTCTAAATATCAGATGTGATAACATATTATTGTCTCTTAATTAAATTAACATAGTTGAATTCAATACATAAATAAAAATAAGCAACTTAGGATTACATACGATTTCTAGCTTTACGTTAAGACCCCGCGCAGTGTAACAGCTACTGATGCTCAGGTTCAACGACCTCCTGTAGCGCAAGCGGCGTTCCGCAACCACCTTCGCCATACATTGCCGGCCAACCGTAAAAAGTACTTATTACTCTAATGGTTATTTTTCCGTTTATTGACGAACCACATAATACATTTCAGGCCATAATCGAATCTCCCGATAAGCAGTTGACCCTGAACGAGATCTACAACTGGTTCCAGTCGACGTTCTGCTACTTCAGGCGCAACGCGGCCACTTGGAAGGTACGTCCATGACCTACTCTAGACAATAACGTTGTAAAATAAACTTAAAAGACCAGACCTAAATTAGGTAAAGGAATTAAAAAAAAATAGCGTTAAATACAGATCAAAATAAATTACTATATTAATAATTTAAAATTTTAAAAAATAATAATACCATACTAAAAGAATTATTTACTAGAATGAATTTTTAATGTAACACACAACTAATTGAATTTGATTTTGAAACAATTTATATACGCACGAGTCGATCGGAAGGTAAACGTAGAAAGAAGGTAGAACATTATTATGCTATGATCTATTTTAGTCTCTAATCTATAAGGTATTGGATCCAAAATCGAAAAGTAATCTGTAACAATAGCAGATCTTTGATAGTAATAAAATAGAAAACATGATTACATATTTATTATAATGATACTCGCATTCGTTTTGGATCCAGTAACGAATTGTTTGAAGTGTTGTCATTGAATTTTGGATAAAAAAAGTTTTAAGGTGACCCAAAGTAAATCTTCGCGATAATTTACCTATTTATTGTGTAATTAAAACGTAAATTTGTAGATTAATATTGTGCTCTACGAACTTTAAGATGTGATGATGTGCTCTATCAGACAATCTCGTTTGAGCCTTCACCGGCGCACTTAATTAATTAACGCATTAAAAAAAAACAAGCACATCGCCAAAATATGTGTGTAAGCAAACAAATTTAGCATCGAACGAATAAAGAATAGACTAGTACGAACAAACAGAACGCAGTGCGTCACAACCTGTCGCTGCACAAATGCTTTATGCGCGTCGAGAACGTGAAGGGAGCCGTGTGGACGGTCGACGAGGTCGAGTTCTACAAGCGGCGCCCGCAGCGAGCCGCGCACGCGCCGCCGCCCATGCACCACGCCGGGTACGCGCGTCCAACGAATGCACTATACAGACTTACACATTCACACTGTCTACATCACAGTTCGCATCATACTCGCACAGTCTACATTACAGTTCCCATCATACTCGCACTGTCTATGTGAGAGGCAATAACATACTTATATTGTCTACATTACAGTTAACAGTATACTCGCATTGTCTACATTACAGTTCGCAGCATACTCGCACTGTCTATGTGACAGGCAATAATGTACTTACACTGTCTACATTACAGTTCGCAGCATACTCGCACTGTCTATGTGACAGGCAATAATGTACTCACACTGTATACATCACAGTTCCCATTATACTCACACTGTCTACATTACAGTTCGCATCATACTCACTCTGATTACGATACAGCTACCATTATACTCGCACTGTCTACATTACAGGCAATACTATACTTACACTGTCTACATTACAACTACAATCATCAGAGAAGCACTGAAATACATCACAGAAGCACTGTCAATTTTATAGAATAAGACCATATCCACACTAGTCACAATACACATATTTTCAGAACAGAACTGTCTACACAAATGTTTATATAACGCTCCCACTGTCTATATGCTAATTTGCATGATATGTAACACTTTCATCATCACACAACTTATATTTATAAGAAACTGTTTATATTACAAAGTAACTTGATCAACACAATAGAAAAAAGCTTACATGAAGTAAAACTGTCTACATCACATTTTATGTGAAAAGAAAACAACAATATTTACTATACAGTCTACATGACTAAACTGTCTATATTTCATAAAACATGACAACTACACTATCTTACATATCGCTGCGTTTACCAAACAAACCTAATACGTTACAGACTTACCAATTCATTTGACAGTAATCACATTGGCTACATAACATACTCAATTGCCGTTGCGTGTAAAAGTATGTATTCCACAATGTCTATATAAAAATAGACAATTAACAAACACACATAAGAAAAAAAACCATGGAATTGATAAAACCTCCATTTAAACTGAAATGCATTACTGTTTCACGGCAGATATAGGGGAATTGGTGTTAACGCGGGGTCACAGTACATAAACAACCATAAAAAAATATAAGCTAATTATTTTTGACACACCACACGTGGACATTAACGGATCTTTGATAGACTTGGTGGGAATGAAGAACCGCGTCTCGATCTCATTCGCACAATCGAATTACGGATCGATCATCATCACCTCAGCCGTTCACTGCTGACCATAGATCTCTCCAATCGATCCCAGTACATCCGGCCGTTGCCTCTTGCATCTAACGTGACCCAGCGATATTCACTAGGTCGTCGGTCCGTCTTATAGGTGGCTGTCCCACACTGCACTTGCCAGTACGTGATCTCCACGTTCTTCTTTTCTCTCTCTCTTTTTCTCTCCCTTTCTGCCCCAGCTATGAATCGACATTAGTATTGATATTCGCATTCATAATTCATAATTTTATAGACTAACCAACTTAGATATGCAAAAATCGAAATCAAAATTTCCTCCGACATTCATCTATGGCCTCCATCATGAATACTTCGATACTTGCATTAATTTCATAATACACTCAAATATTTGTAACGTTATAATAAATATCGATGGTAAACGTAATATTTTCATCGGTTACAATTAAAACTGCATTTTTCTGTTACAAATATGGTTTTTTTTTCTATTATCAATGTAGTATTTAGAGTCACATAATCGTCCACAATACATTTAGTCATTCTCGACAACGAAAACTGTAAAGTACAAGTCGTAAATGATATAGGTGACTATAAAAAAGGCGAGATCAAAACGTCCAAGTTTAATCGTAAATATCATTGCTTTTTACAAATTCCTTCTTTGTACGAAATCAGTTAAATTTAATTTAAATTTAAATTTAAATTTAAATTTAACCGTAGCTTTTATTATACCCGCAAAAGTATAATAGTTTTATGAAAATCGCGGTACATATCCACGTGTATAATAAGATCCGCCTGTTAGCTAATCCAGTTCAACTTGTTTGGAATTTGAAGTCCCCATGTGCGAACCTAAGACCAACGTAACATGAGCATAGATTCAAATCTCGATATTTTTATGTCGTATCTCGATCAGACTAATACAGACTATACACACTGACACACTATATACATAAAGAAAAGCCAACATGGCTACACAAGACACCTTCACTCACTGAACAGTTTTCGGTACATTTCAATACCTTCTCTTAAATATTTTCTATCTAACCTAGCGATGTATCTAATTTTTATTGTGTAAATAAACGTTTTATCTCGTTTCAGATTTGAATTTTGTAATTATTAATGTAGTGGGTTTTGGATTGATTGTGAGTGGCTTCATAACTAGTGTTTACAATTTTATATATTGCGCTTCACCCTGGTTATGTCGTCACAATGTGAGTTTTGTAATTGTATTTTTGTATTTAGGTCTCGATATATGTTTGTGTTTGTGGGTTTTCAGCGCAACGGTGAATAACGTTTCTCTCGCTTGCCTATTAACCTCGCTCCTGTCATCTGCTCCCTTCCTTGGGGTTTCTTCTCCATCAGATCCTGCATGAAATCGTTTATGATTGGTATTTCTCAACGACGATCTTATTGTGCTTTCATCGTAATTTAATTATCCATCATCATTCAACTATTCGATTATTGTTTTTCCTCCGATTCATTATATCACGGATGACGATGAAAGCACTTTTTTTTTAAGGTTAAGTTTTTATTTTTCTAAATTCGGATCGGTCATTAGATCGGTAACATGTTAGATTTTATGTTTAATGGCGATAAATTATAGAACGCTATCCGGACGAACCTGTCTCTGCACAAATGTTTCGTGCGCTACGAGGACGACTTCGGCTCGTTTTGGATGGTCGACGACGCTGAGTTTGTGAAGAGACGGCACCTGAGTCGGGGCAGGCCTAGGAAATATGAGCCAACGGCGCCGGGACCCAATGCTCCAGCACAGTAAGGGCGCAGCCGCACCGGGAATTGCGACCGTCCAACGAATCTAGTAACATAGATTCTATTTTTTGTTTTGTTCATATTCACGATTTTCAGAATCTGTCGCGTGTGATTTCCCAAAATGTCTGATAATAATATTGATTCCGGTTGAAATTGTTTCGCAATATGACTTTTTTTGGAAAAAAAAACATGCAAATGTACGAATAAATAAAAATAAAAATTAGGAAGAGCTCAACTATAAAATTTCCTCAACAGATAATCGATAAAAAATGACGTATAACTAAACGAGAACTAGAGATCGTTGGACGATCGCGTCCATTATCATCAATACTTTATGTGAGATCTAGCACAACGGCTGAAAATTATCATGAAAATAATAAAATAAATGCGATAATTTTCGGGTAACGCATTGATGTTTCTGGCCATTTCTGTAAAATGTTCCACTGTACAATTAGTTTAATTCAACATGTCATGTTAGTTTGTACTAGAGAGAGGTGTTCGTTTCGAAAATAGAATCTTACAATTGACTTTGTGCGATTGATTTTGAACTTGCAAGATTCATAGATTTCCTGAAACAATTGTGTCATCAAAGTAAATCAACCGCACATAACTAGACTCCTAGAGTGCCTAGCTATAACAAATTGTTTTGCAATAGTTTTTAACATCACATTATGAATATAACTTGTTGTTTAATGAATTAGCTTCGTTCATATGTTGCTATGTAATTACCGGACTTTTTATTTCTATTTGGTGAAAACCATTCATTGGTTTGAATCAAATCGATCTATTTCAAATAAAAGTTTGTCACGTTATGCATGTTAATTGCATTTAATGCAAATTATTGTAAAGAAGGATCGTCGTTGGACTTCCAAGTAAGATTACTAGTGAACTTTATGTCATCTTGTTTTCCTTTTCACGATTCTGCATGTTTTACCCTCATTAAAAATCACTGGTATAAAATATTTGCTTTTATTGTGCTTTAGCTGCATTTTGGCGTCGCATGTTAGTTCTTAGTCTTTCTCATTTTTATTAATATGGCTTGCCTTTTTTCCATTTCTCTTTTTATTATATTTTATATTTTTTACTTCTATTCACACGCACACACATTCACCATGTTTACACAAATTACACTTACACGAAATTGGAATTTGATTCAAAATTATACACTTGACAGAATCACACAAAGCATTGATAAGGTACAGAGTATGAAATAAAATTTTTGTGAAACTAAAATTAGAAGCTGATATATTTTTTGTGATTTTGTGATAATTTCAAAATGTAATCAAATCAGTGCATAGTAAATTAGATTTGTATTTTTTTAATAAATTGATTTCTAAACTTTTTTTTAATGATTCAGATTCGAACATTAACCATATGTATCTAAACAGGTTCATGGGAGCTCAAAGCCCACCAATGATGACAAGTCCTCATGGCTACAGTGAAGCGCTGAAAAGAAATCTCCAGGTATTGTTGAAATCTAGAGTTGCACACCCAACTACAAAACTTTGAAGTAATTAACCATAAATCACAGAATGAGGTTTTAATTATAAATGTCGCCTGTTTTAAGAGTTTAGTTTTAATTTGCATTATTTCAGGAGCTACTTTGGAATTATTGATAAAAATGATTTCGCTTTAATAACGTATTATTTTGGATGTGCTAATGAGAGTACCGATATTTAATTTCTTTATTTTCATTTAACAAAATGTATCGTATCCGCAGGGGATGATGGAAGATTGCAACTTGTCCTACATGTCCGGTGAGGACCACATGATGCAAACCGAGGACTATCCGTCTTCGCACGAGGAGTATAGGTGAGGTTCTGTTACAGTAACCGATAATTTTCACAGATGTGAAGAGTCCTTTGGAAGCATCAAACCAAAATATCCAACAAACACTCTGTTGAATTTTGCATTATGACTTTGAGGCAAAATTGCAATATCCTTATAATCTAAAGTATGCTGGATATCGAGATCTGAAGATAAACTAACGCATATTATTCAAGTTGATGGAAGAAAATTTATGGAGCGAAACGCCTGAAGGTTTGAAACTGAAGCTTCAAAGTAAAATACCGTCATCTACCTTGACAGTGGATGACCACAAATGAAAAACAAATGGGAAAATCACCATATGTTTTCTGCCAGGACAAGTGAACGAGCTCACGGCCCACGCCATGTTAACTAGTTACCGGAGTCCTTAAACATCAATAACGTCGATGCTACCATCCACCTCGAGGCTTGAATTCTAAGTCTCAGAGCTATAGTACAACAGCTGCCTTTCCCTTTAATTCGGAACGCATTAAAGCTTCCCGGCAGAAACGGGCAGGGTGGTGGCACATACCCGGGCGGGGTCACAAGACGCTCTGCCACCAGCTTTCAAACTGGAACAAAAATTTTGGTTTTAGAACGAGCATATACATACATAAGCTTTACCACTTTATGCTGTAAGCACTATGAAAGAGTATTGTTTAAAGTAAGGACTTATTATTATAAACGAATAAATATTGGTCTTTATCATTTATTTCAGCCGACCCCCAATACTGAACGGCTACGGCAGCAGTTCATCCCATGAGGTGAAGGCCGAAGACTTGAGCGCTAATGACACACAGGATATTAAACCCAATATATACGCGCTTAAGAACGAGATTCAAGCGTCTGATTACTCTAATAAAGGTATGTATGGTATAGGAATTGCAGAAAAATTTCCAATTTTAATTAGAGCATCGCAATGCGTTATAGCTTAAGTAAGTTCGCCTGTCAATACCTTTTTGGAGCTGTTAGAAATTTGTCAAAATACCTTGAAGTTTTAATTCGTTCAGTAAACATAGATTGGATTAATATTAGTCGCCGTGGCCTAAAGGTTAAGTTCGACGCCGAGATAAGTATCGAGTGATGTGACTGTGCCAGGGCTTGGGTCTCGTAGGTATTTAACAGTAGGCAGCGGCTGGGGTCTGCCCTTGGCATTGCTGAAGTCCATGGGTGATGTTAACCACTCATCATCAAGTCGGCCGTACGCTCTTCAGCCTATAGGCCAACAAAAAAAAAAACAAATCGTAAGCAGGTACTATTTTTTGTAATGAAATACGTACTTAAACTGGTAGGACCTCTTGTGAGTCCGCGCGGGTAGGTACCACCATCCCGTCTATTTCTGCCGTAAAGCAGTAATGCGTTTCGGTTTGAGGGGTAGGGCAGCCGTTGTAACTATACTGAGATCTTAGAACTTATATCTCAAGGTGGGTGGCGCATTTACGTTGTAGGTGTCTATGGGCTCCAGTAATCACTTAACACCAGGTGGGCTGTGAGCTCGTCCAACCTTCTAAGCAACGAAAAAAAAAAGAACATAAATTATGTTCACGAATGACTTCCATGGTGAAGAAATAATACGTCACATCGAGTAATAAAAATCATACCCGTAAAATTGTTTATTTGCGTAACTACCTGTAGATACGACAGCCCTGCCTATTTCTGCCGCGGAGCAGTTAAGCGTTCCAGTTTGAACGGTAGTACAGCCGATACACTATACAACTAAGAGTTAGGACTCATGTCTCAAGATCGAAAGCGGTATTAACGTATTAACGATAGTTTCATTCAGCTCTCTTTCCATCACCAGCCGGCGACTACTCCAACAAGGAGTCTTCGAGCAATCGTTCCGGCGAAGGAAGCAGTTACGACGATTACCGTCCCGAAGACAGATACCGTCCCTCCATATCCCACATCAAGGACGAAGCCGAGAACCTCTCACTGAACGAGCAAAGATCTGAAAAGTAAAACCGAGATAAGTCTATCCAACCATTCGATACGCGCTATCGATACATATATAACCTACCCTTATTAATGTGGATTGCGAAAGGATTTAGAAGATATTTTCTATCTACGATACAGTTACATCATTTACTCTTGATTATGTTTATGTAAGCGCGAATAGTTTTCCAATCCACCAACGCAGATCATATCCTTTGCGTTTAACATACGAAGATTCGTTCAGATTACTAATTAGGGAACTGCAATGGAAAGCAAAGTGAAATCTTACGATACCTCGATGATATAGTTGTTTCTGTTGACTCTGCGTAGAGACAATGGTTGTTGCAAATATAATATGTATTTTAATAATGAGTACTAAAAAGTATCCGTGCAGAATTTCGAAGTTCGCTTTAGAACAGAGAGAGAGAGAGAGAGAGAGAAAGCGAGTGAGATAGAGAAAAAAGTGAGAGCCAAAGTATGAATTTTGCTCTCCAAATCAATTTGCATAGAAAAATTACCGGGGATGAACGATCGTATCGTTTGACGTTCTTGACGTACATATGTCACTTTTCATGGCGGTCAACAAGCAAAGGGAATAAGTTAAAGTTCCCAAAATTAACTTGGGAAATGTATTCAGTAGCATGTCAATGTTTCTTGATTAGTAATCTGTTCGTGTCATAATAATACGAATATAAAAACATAAATATTTACGGGTTTAGATCTATTAAATGTTAGGCAGTGTTTATATAGAAATGTGTTCACAATTGGATTTCGAGTATGGGCGATCTCCTAAACGGGAGTTTTGTTACAACCAAATATATTTTTTTTTCGCTTAATACGAACGTGCCCGGCTCTTAGCGGGACTATTTCAAGTATTATAGGTTTATCCTTTAGTCTTTATAACTTGGTAGCTAAGGTCTAAAATTAGTCGTGTAGTTAGCTAAGTTAAGTTTTAGTGGAAAATATTTAGATATTCCAAACGGTTTATACCTTTAAATGTTCATATCAATAATGAAAATATTTAATCGTTTGTAATATAACGTAAGCACAATAAGTAGTTGTATCTGTGTGTAAAGGTTCGATTAGGTATTGCGCATAGCGTTTTCGTTAATTCGATTCACATTTAACGCTTCCGACGAGTGAATTATTCGTATTAAGTTTCTAGATTGTTCTGTAGCGATATATCGATTGGGAATTATCGATTTTTTGTTTCGATTCCAATTAGCGATTGAGACACGGGTGATTTGAATTTTTTCGCGAAGCGTCCGCCATTGTTCCGAATGATTTAAGATATTATATATAAATATCTATGTCTATATATTATCTACTTAAACATTACGAATATATAAATAAGACAGATCTCAAATTATCAATGGAGTCGAAACAGTAACGTGATTCATGAAGGAATTGATTTCATAAGTGATCTGAATTATATTATACATATATATTTTTGAAATGTAACCGTTTTTTTATTTTTATTTTTTTTTAATCGCGAATATATTTTGTGATGTGTTATTATAATATTATCGTTTTTAGTGATTAGTTTTATTGGTTTTTTTTTTTATTATTTTTATTTAGGACTAAGCTTTAATTGGTTTTCTATCTTGGTGATATCGATAAGAAAATAACTCGCCGTGTTTCATCGTAACGAGATATTCTTTGTATTTTTTAATTGAATCGCATTTATATTTATATTTATATATCTATTAAGCGTACTTTCTACACCACTAGATTTTTATAATCAAAAATGTAAGGCGCTATCGGATGATACTTAGCGTATTCATGATAAAAGTGTTTATCCCTACTTTAAAGCATAAAGGTATCGGCTTGTAAATAGCAGGGGGGAGGTCTGCCATTTCCTCCCCTCCCCTCCCCTCACAAATGTATCTCAATACTACAATACACCCGCAAAAAGAGCTTAAAGCTTATTAGTTTACCTTAGTTGCGAATGATGCGCCACACTTTAACTAAAGCTAGAGACTGGTTCGTCCTGTCTCAATTAAAACTACTTTCACGGCTTAATATCGCGTTTTTCATCAATCAACATTAAAAAAACAGTCATACATAGTATGTATAACCGTTTCTTTATAAAAATACTAATAAATATATAAAAAAATAAAAATACATTCTGAACGGCACCATTTCGTTATAACATTGGTTTACCATTATTAACAAAATCAATATGCAGACACTGCACAATATGTACACACTGCTTCATTCATATATGATATGCGTTGCATTAAATAATAATTGGTAATTATATTATATTTATATTTAATCGGTAATAATCTTATATCTCCGGGTGATTTCCACGTTGCCGTCTCCACGACTTAACGCCAGATAATTGTGTGCGTATCATTTCGAACCATCACTAATTTTTAACTATTTCGGACTTTTTATTACCTTCAAAGACCGATTTAATGCGGTGTGAACGTCTGAAGCAAAATGGCGACTAATCGCAAAGTCCTGAAATTGAAATTAAAAAAACGTAGCGCCGAGAAAAAACCGTTAAACATAATTTTGTATATCTTAAAAACTATAACAGACGGCTTTTACATTTATGGTAATAAAAATTTAGCGGTGTGCTTTCATATAAATACATAGTTCTTTCTACCTATGTTGATAGCCTTGAGAGGCTATTTCAGCTTCGCCCTAAAATGTAGGTGAGCTCACGGGGCTCAAACCGGAGTGTTGCTAACACTGGCCCTAGCAAGAGCAGTGCTTCGCAGAATCCACCACCGGATCGGAAACGCGACCCACTGAGAAGATCCGGCGAGAAACTCAGTGAGCTATATAAACACATATACAGGTATATTTATTCTGATATTGTCATATATATCCACAATCCCACCTAAACAAGCCTCACTCAGCATTACATGTAAACACTAAAGCCATTGTTTGATTAAGATTGATACAAAAAAAACATGTTTATGTTTGTTAATAAAATCGAGTTAATTGATGACACAGGCTCTATACAGAACCGTATACCTATCGCGCGTGTCTGTCTGTACGTACGCTATTCGTCCGAAACGATTTTCTAAAATTAATTTATACACTTTTATTTTGTATTTTAATTTAGTTTTCCGATTATTTTTTTGTAAATAAACAGAAAAAACGTATGAGCTGTTTGCGGTAAGCGAATTATTTATGTACCTCCTGGTCGTAATATAGGGATCGCTGTACATTACTGCGTCTGGATCGTGTTGTGTTTAGCTCGGGCGCATATTGCCTGTACCCGGATATATTTGATACTAGGCCTGTACTTTAAAATAGGTCGAAAACTAATGGATGGTATGACCTTTTCCAACATTTGCATTAGACAGACCAAATATAAGTATCACTGGCGACCCGCCCTCGCTTCGCTTCGTAAACATTACATTTTATTATTGATAGCTGAGTCCCTCGATGTTACACGCAGTTATTGTCGTACTGCGGGGCGAAGCTAGTCTAAAAAAGTCTAAGTTACTCCTTATATCATCAGCTACCTATCAGTGAAAGTCTCGTAAAAATCGATTCAGCTGTTCCAGAGATTAGCCGGAACAAACAGACAGACAGACAAAAATTGTAAAAAATGTTATTTTGGTGTATGTACCGTATATAATTCATATGCGTGTAGTAAAAAGCGGTCATTTCAATATTACAAACAGACACTCCAATTTTATTTATATGTATAGATCAGCACATAAGGGAAAAAACTATTTTTGTTTTTTTTTTACAATATAGCACATTTAAAGCACGCCAGTTAAGCAAGTGGAACTGACCTTTATCTGCTCCCAAGGTCTGGTGTAATTTAAGTATTCCGCAGGATATGTTTGGTTAGCACGTCATCACACCCTTCTATTTTAATATACGGAAACTTTCCGGAGAGTAGCCGGTCGGAAAATATGCTTCCGAGCTTGTGATGCAGATTACAGATTAGTATTTCAAATGATCATAATGTATACGGGGGTCTAGCTTAGACTTTCACTTAGCTATCGCATATTACATGTCGTAGAAATATTAGATGAAGATAGTAAAATTAAAATAAAAATTTAATAAAAAAAATTTTTAGTAGTATAAATAAATAATAATTACGTCATTGTAATAATCCATTTTTCGGTAAACTTTGTATAGCGAGTTGTGCATTTTCCTAAGCATTTATTAAACGTAGAATGTTCTCGAATGAAGGGAAAATATCATATCACGGATATAATAAATTTAGATACGAATTTTAAAATAATCCTTTTTTGAAATTCCGCGGAAACTAACCTATGACGTGGCTTCTTGTTCCCGCCTTTTAGTTTGACAGTCGTGAATTGTCATTCACTCCCCACTCGGGAGAAGCGAAAGCGCGGGAAATTAGCTTTGGAAATAATTGCAACCAGCTAAAAACAAGACGTAGATTACAAAATTATGTTTTTTGTTCAGTACGTTCGTGCATTTATTGGATGAATTAAAAACAAATATTTTCGAACGCGCGGAGAAAGTTAATTCGATTAAAATCAACGGTTTTATAAAAAAAAAACATTGAATTTCCAATAACATTCATACTGTGTACAGTTGAAAACATTCTCGCGCTGGATCGATAATAATCTCATCTAGTAAGTGCACAACATATCCATTTACTCCTATATTTTTGCTTTGAAATAATACGTGATTTTTTTTGTTTTTCGTCAGCCAAGTACAACGAGGAATCATAGAGCACTGTTCGTTTCGGAATTGATTATTGTTGTTATTTGTATGTAGCGATGTTTTATATAAATGGTGTTAGCTTCAACGGGAACTCAACGAGAACGAGTTTCTAGAAATTATCTTGTGATTATCATTAAGTGTGTTTTTAAACGGTTAATTTCTCAAATAAAGTTATTTTTTTGGTATTGTTTTTTTTTTAAAAGCGAAATTTGGACTTTTCGTTTCACGTGACACTCTTTAGTTCGTTCTTCAAGTTCAAATAAATTTAACGCCATTTTCATTATTGTCAGCTGCAGGTCAGTTTAAAATATGTCACGTAAACTAGAATATTATAGTGTATAAGTTTTACATTTAATATTTTTTTATTGTAGCATTGTAAAATTGAGAGGCACTCCATTGATGTTTTATTTATGTAGATATATCTAAAACAATTGCATATAAATTGAATTTCATCATATTTTATTTTATTTAAATCTACTTACTTTTATTAAATTAAGGTTTACGAAGAAAACAATAATTTTTTTGCAAGTTTTGCTTTTTTAAACGTTATTGTGTATTGAAAAGGAAACTCGTTCTTGTGTTGTCTGTGGTAGATTGTTTTGGCGCGAAACGCGTGACACATTGATATATTAGGTATACATACGTTTATTAAAAATTGTAAATTATACTTAATTAGTGTTGTATTAAACGAAATCATTACAATTAATTAAGAGACTTTTATTTTAATTTAACATTCGATCATGTAGAAAATATGACTAATAAAAAAATGTAGCATGTAATTTTAAAATATTATATTTTTTTATTATACGTCGTTATGAAGTCGTCGTGGCCTAACGGATAAGACGTCCGGCGCATTCGTGTTGAGCGATGCACCGGTGTTCGAATCTCAGGCGGGTACCAATTTTTCTAATGAAATACGTACTCAACAAATGTTCACGATTGACTTCCATGGTGAATAACATCGTGCAATAAAAATGAAACCCGCAAAATTATAATTTGCGTAATTACTGGTGGTAGGACCTCTTGTGAGACCGCGCGGGTGGGTACCATCACCCTGCCTATTTCTGCCGTAAAGCAGTAATGCGTTTCGGTTTGAAGGGTGGGGCAGCCGTTGTAACTATACTTGAGACCTTAGAACTTGGATCTCAAGGTGGGTGGCGCATTTACATTGTGGATGTCTATGGGCTCCAGTAACCACTTAACACCAGGTGGGCTGTGAGCTCGTCCACCCATCTAAGCAATAAAAAAAAAAACGTAGACATAGACGATTACTCGACCAATCTGATGGTGAATGGTTACCGTCACTCAAAGCCGCTGTCTGTTGCTGAACACTATATGCCGCGCCAATAAAGAAACGAATCTAAAATGGCGGCGGCGATCATGCGCTCTCACTCTAAACTATTGCTGTCTTTAGTCGCACACGGCGCGTACTGCATGCAAAAAAATATCAGTTCTGACTTTGTTGTTGAGTTCGAGTTTTTTCACTTACGAGTTGTGCGACTTAGATGACTGGCAGCAAGTGTCTACGCAAGTTGCTTCCCAGATGAGACACCTAAAGTAAAGTACACTCTCATTTGCTTTTTATATTTTTTTACAATAAACATTTTTTTCTTTCTATATTTCTTTTTATTTGTTGACCCTACCATCTGTTAGTGCAGGTACATAGACGCCATTTTCGATTCGTTTCTTTATTGGCGCGGCTTGTACCCGCAAAGCTAGCTTGAAGACACGTGTCATAGCGCTTAGGAAAAAGTTGAAGCGAAGTTATGCCAAAGCCGGATGTTACGTGGCGGAAAAGGTCTCTTGGAATTGCGCTGTGTAATTGCGCTTTTGTTATTTATTTATTTTTGCTTAGATAGGTGGACGAGCTCACAGCCCACCTAGTGTTAAGTGGTTACTGGAGCCCATAGACATCCACAACGTAAATGCGCAACCCACCTTGAGATATAAGTTCTAAGGTCTCACGTATAGTCACATGATGATGCAGATGATACAGAGGTTCTAGGTAGTGCAGATTTACACTGCTCTGCTATCGGTCGATGCGCTAGTATAAACAAGACGATAGGATCATCCCATAAGACAAGTCGAGGTAAAACTGTATATCGTCAATCGGTTCACTTCAGTGTAGCCAATAAACACAACTTCGACATGAGAAGTTAGTCTCAGTTACGTCTCTATTGATTGTTGTATCCGCGAATGATAAATAGGTAGAGCAATATTTCTCACAGATCCACGCGCGTACTACAATATCGAGGGGTAAAATGCTATTTGGCTTAAACGACATTTTTTTAGCTTCACAGGAAGAGGCATTTAAAGTTTAAAATTTGGAAAAAATTTAAAAAAAAGGCTATTTCAATAGAGCAAGCTTTATACTTGTAGTAGGACCTCTAGTGAGTCTGCACGGGTAGGTACCACCACTCCGCCTATTTCAGCCGTGAAGCAATACTGCGTTTCGTTTAGATGGGGCAACCGTTGTACTGTAAAAACTGAAACCTTAGAACTTATCTCAATTTGGGTTGCATTTACGTTGCAGATGTCTATGGGCTCCGGTAACCACTTAACATTAGGTGGGGCGTGAGATCATCCACCTATCTAACCAATAACAATTTAAAAAAAATCGTGATAGATTTTTTCTACATTAACGCGACCTAAGTCGCTACGAACAACTAGTATTTAGAAAATATCAACCCACAAATTTCTTGCCGATTAATTTCATTAACAAAACCACATTTCGAATTGAGGCCGTCAGCGTAAAGGTTGCATAAGCTTAACATAGTTAGTATAGAGACAATTAGGTTTGAATTTTCATGAATTTGAATAGGCAAAAAAACAATACGCAGAAAAATAAAGTTTACACAGCTATCTGTTATCTATGGATATGCCGGTTTTGCATCAAAGTTTATTATATTTTAAATAAATTCCACAATATACGTCAGCTTGAATATAAAAAAATGTGGGTTAGGCCACTTT